CAAACCAGTCTAACGGAAAAATTAAGTAGCAAGAGTTACCCAGAATGAAAAGAAATTCTTAATCATCTCAATAACAACTAAAACATGGATAACTAATAATATACTACTCAGCAGCCCTGTCAAAGAAAAATGAAGCAACAAATAGATGTTTCTGTCCATCACCCCCCTCCACCATCCACACTCCGCCGAATGTGCACTTCATGTGCGTACATGTAGATTCATTAACTTTGAGAGCATTGATAGCTACCCTCCTGCATTCATCCACACTCGTGCCAGACGGAGAAGCCCTGGCTTTATATTCTTTTCCTCCATATTTGTAGGAACCTGACAAACAATGGCGTAGAGGGAAGAAAACCTTTTAATACTCACTATTTCAATGATGATATTCAGAAGAAAAGTAGAATTTTGTATATTATAATCCCAGAGCAACCAAAATGAGAAGTGATTTAGTTATATTTTACAAAAGAAGCGGAAATAAATCTGCAAAAGCATGGGAACAGCATGCATCTTGAAGGCAGAAGAATACCATGAAGAAAAAACTAGGCCACTTTATTTCTTAAGTAAATCGACCTACCATCATAACCAGCCAAGATACATGGGTTGCCAGAGGAATCAGAAGCCTTCAAGATTTCTACTCGAGCTGCTAGTAAACCATAGCTCAGGTAGCTGCATGGAAGTTGTGAAAACTATATTAACTAAGAGAGAAAACTAGAAAACCAAATTTTTTTGAGGTGCGGTGGCAAAAAATACTGCATCCTAAATATGACATCTTCAGTAGGACAGTTGCGTTACATACAATTGAAGAGAAGACAAACGATAAAGTAATTGATGAAAAAGATATAAAGTGGCCCAATAATCTATGAGATAAAACACCAACAAAGAATCAGTTATGAAATCAGACAACCTATTTATAACAGGAAAGAATGAAACCTGTGAACATATAGATAATAATCTCTTCCCTTCAGACGCATTTCCCTAACATATGCATCCTCTCCATTGTGTACTTTTGGAGCTTTTGCAGCATCTGCCTCTGAGATAGCATAAGCCATTTGAACAGAACCCCCTCCAAGATCAACCACTCCAACTGTATTTGAATATTTTTTTCCCAGATTCCCTAAAAGAAAGTTAATTGTCACCTGTTGAATACAACACTTCAGAACAATATTAACAAAAAAAAATCCGGATTTTGTAAAAATCATTCTAATGTATATACCCCGCAAATTAGATCTTCATAGTCGAATAATACTTGCAGGGAAATTGAAAAATCATTTTCCAGGCTGAATGCTGAAAATTGAAAACTAGGATACCTAGGCAGAAAATAACCAACTATATGATGCTTATAAAGAAGCCACACAACTAAAGAACTAACCATAAGATGAACAAATGCTCACTCAGGCTGTAGGTAAAAGCATAGGCCTTAACAGTAAACCATAGACATACTAAGGCATTCACAAATTTTGTGATACAGAGCATTCAAGGACTTGAAGGAGCAATCAAACAAATAAGCCAGCATGTCAAGTTATGGGCTAGCGACAACAGAGAGCGGGAGGCCAGCAATATCTGCTCCAAGCTGGAAAATGTTCACCAATCAAATCAGTTTCATTTGATTTAGTTTTCAAAATTTTGATTCAGGTTTAGTTTTGGCTTTTTGACAGAGCTGCATCCCCAAGCATTAGCCTGGTAGAGGGTGCATCCTGACTTGGGTAAGGACCCAGATTCAAGTGGTCCTCTGCTGCATCATTTCCTATGAAAAAGTTTATCAATGCTAATACCATAGATTAAATCAACTGAGAGAAACAAAGCAGATAAACATAATTTTATTCATCTATTCCTTCTTCGGGTTTCTAAATTCTTATCCTTTCTAAGACAGTTATTTCTCCATTAATTTGAACTGGTTCTTGCAAAGTCATTAAAACTGAAATACCAGAAATGAACCAACTGCTTAGTATATTTTACTTTTAGGATTTCCGAGCCAAAAGTATTTTGGTTTTAGGTTCTGTCAAACAGAACAAACTGAATTTCAAACATCCACTGCTGGCTAAGAGCTAGAATGAGCATATAGATGTATCCACATGTGAGCTGCTCCTGTGTCGAATTACATAACGAAGAATTGGATAAACTTGGTTATGACAGTGCCTGACACAAATGCAGTGTTGTAAGGCTTGGCCAACCCCACGATGAAGAGAATAATGCATGGTAAACTAGACTTACACATGGTAGGTATACTAAACATATATGTTGCAATCACCTTGTCAACACTTGGACTTGCAAAGTTTATATGTAATGGGGTGAAGTGCAAGGCCATGAGTGCAATCAACTAAGGGGAAACTGGGAGACTGTTCAGTTTTCCTCATGCTAGCTAGAAACTAATAAACCCATACATTCATTCAAACCCCCATGCAGCAATCTCATGGATGCAACCATTGTTATTAAACATAAATTTGTTATATCCCAGGCAACATACCCACTCATAAGAACCTTCTTGAGTGCCATCCAGAACAGTTACCACGTCGGATTCAAGTTTCAGGGTGCTCCTGTCTTTCAGAAGGTCCCTGACCTTAAAAAAATGAAATTTGAGAAAATAATAAGCACTAGGTGAGCATATGAATTTGATCAATGAAAACAATCTGAATGGAGAGATACCGCTTCCAAGATTTTCTCAGATGTCTCAGCACCTAATGCCCTCAATCCTGCAGTCGCCTGCATAATATTGTCCCACATCAGTTATGCTGACAAGAATTCGAGCGAATTGAAACACCATTCAAATGATATCAGTTTCATGATCAGAATGCAGAGACAAATTACCCACCCCAACTCTGACAGGTGTCTTGGACCTCAAGTCATGGGGCACAACACTTTCTGCTTTATCAAGAAGTGATGCTAACGAGTTGGCTGCTTCCCTTGGATCATTTGCATAGGCACTCAAACCTGGTTTTATCTACAACGACTATGATAAAGTAAGAAATAAACACAAACAAACTATTACTGCAATCTTAAGCAATAAACTACATCACAGCACTAACAAAAGAAAAAAAGCCAACAAAAATAGACTTCAGCATTGTTTAACTGGCAGTTCAAAGACCTTCGCTTATTCTCCTCTAATAAAGCCAGCTGAATTACGCATCTCACGTGAAACTCAGATAAATTCACAGAATCCAAGCCATAGATTTAGTGAATCCAACATGTTGCAGATGCAAATTCGAGCTCTCAACACGAAACAAACATCCCCAGACTACAGTTTCATGGCATCTTAAGTCTAAGCCTATGTCGTTTCAATACCAAAACTCCACTACACTAAACTCTGATAAAACTATGTAAATCAGGATCAAAACCACAAGGGATAGAACCCAAAAAAGAAATAAGTCCTAAGAATAAGAACATTGCTAAGTTCTAAGTAAGCAGCATCTTGAAACTACATCTAAAGGTAAAATTCGACGAAAAGTCAAGATTAGTACTTGCCAGAACCGGAGAAAGCAAAACCCAACAAATTAAAAAGAATAGAAACCCATTACCTGCACGAAAAGCTCGAGATCTTTGCCGATAGGAACAAGATCCAAATTCTGATCAAAACAGAAGACATGCACCCGACTACCCGAACTTCCGGCATCAAAGATGACAGCATAGCTCTTGGGACTCCTAGAATTGGGCGATACTTTCCGGCTGTTAATCTCGTACTCTTCAATCACCGCATCAGACGAGGAGCTGTTGGGCATAAGGAAGAGCACGAACATAATGAGTAGGATGGGCACAGACACAACCACGAGAACCCCTCGATACTTGTGGATCTTGTCGGAAAGGGACTCATGTCTCCCCATAGGTCGTTTAATCATCTTGCCGTCGATGAGGAGGTACTGTTGCTGCTGATCGGAAGTGGGAGACGTGGCACCGGAGGAAGCAGAAGCGGGACCCGACTCCAGAAGCTCAGCGGAGGAAGGCGACCGGTACCGGATCTGTCCGTTCCCGGTGGCGGTCGGGGTGGGTTTTAAGGACTGCGATTGCTCTGTTAGGGACTCCAGGACTTCAGTCTTTCACTTAAATAACAGTAGAGAAAGAAAAGTGAAAAGACACCCAGAAGAATAAAACGGACGATTGATTTGATTGTGGGTTTTCCAGATCTAAAACGTGGAGCATGCGTGTCGCAGAAACAGAGACAATGCAGGAGCCGGTAATTTTCTCGGTGGGGGTTTCGGGCGTTCGTCTGTTTCTCCTAGAAGGAAGGAGTCAGCAAGACCAACAGAGAAAATGGAATGAAGAAGACGAAGATGGTCGATAGGATATCATATAAAGATTTGATCTTTACTGTGAGACAACAATGGTGGCGTTATTTATTGATGTGTTTAGATATACATTGGCGTTGTTTAGGGGAAAAAATGAAAGGGAAAGGTGGCTATTACTGGCTGGTTTCTACTTTCTCGTTTCCTTCCTTATATTGCCGGTAAAGTGACAGAAAATTACTTAGAAAATAAATAAACCAATGAAAGTACCTTTTTTTATAAATTTTTAATTTTTAGAGACATAATTTAATTTCAATACATACAAACTGTTCCAAATATTTGACGCGTCAAATAAAATTAAAGCGCGTTTTAACTGATGAAGATCTGCCTAATTTTAAGTATAGAAGCCATGGTAATTTATGATGGACTAATTTCAACATTAATAATGCACGTTGACCCAGATGACGGTAAGCTTTTAAATACTTCTTTATGCAGTTGTCAAGGTGAACAAGAAGCTAGAATAATGGATTTGTCTTTAAACTTACGCTGCCTCGTTCATAAAAGCATATAGTCAGTCAGGTGCTGAGGATATACATATACAGGTGATACGTATAGGAAGTATGAACAAGTGTAAAACTCAAGCAAGAGTATTTAAAAAAATTATGGGAATGTTGGGAATAAGATGACAGGATCCAACAGAAGGCATGATCATAGGCTACCAGCTTCTAAAGCAATAAAGTTGCTGCCTCTGTAATTTATGACGATTGAATTTAAGACATTTTAAGGCAATCTCAAATTCATTTCCAGCACAATCTGCAGCCTCTCACGAGTTGGAACAGGCTAATCTGCTACTATTATACAAGGCTGCATCGAAACTACACTGTGCATAAAATTAAAGAATCAAAATCAAACAGCTGTGAGGCGAGGAAGAAGATGACTGAAACTGCACACCAGTTTCTGTGGCGGCATCCTATGCAGCCATACAAACTGTATGGAAAAGATAATATAATAGATGCAAAGAAAATCACTTGCTCTCAACTGAATGGTTAAATTGCCAATCCATTACAATTAAGACAGTCTAACCATTATAAAGTAGCAATGAGAACAAGAAACGGAAAGAAAAATATTTCTTATTGCA